ACTTGAAATTCGGAGAACCACCCCCCCCCCCTCAAGCAGCACGTACAAAGTTGTTGTTCTGCCAATACCAACCTTGCACTTTTTTGCCCCTCTCGTTGCCTTTTTGCTTATTGATAACCGACAACGTCTGCCATTATCCTTGTTGTTGTAATTATTCCGTTTTATGCTCCCAGAAGCATTAAAAGAAACAATGAAAACAATAAGAAAAAGATAAAGATTACACCCGATATAAGTATTCATATCCCCAAAATAAGTTTAATGGAACGTATCCTAAGCAGGCTCCCGTGTTTGTTCTGTTAGGAAACCCCGTATACGGCCGCTGGTTTCTAGACGGTAGTGATCCAGATGTAAGGTTAGTAGGGGTTATCAGGAGCCCATCCTGCGGTTATACATATCTAGTATGTTCAATTAATGTTGCGGGCGGGGGTGGGAGGAAGAGGAAATGGCGTTGGATTCTTATACCTTACCCCTATTTTCAGATGTCGGGTTTTTATTCAACCGATTTTGCGCAAGAAACTCTTCTTTGATTCTTACTTTTTTCAAACTCTTAAATAAAATTTCAGATCGACCATTTCATATGACATCCACCATATCCAGCACTGCTTTAAACTTATGCATTTACATTTCTGACTGCTGCAGGTGGCATTATACTCAGCGTTGACGGGTTAAATTTTTGTCTCATAACGTAGGATTATATTCCAGGGTAAAATAGTGGCTTGCATGTTCCTATGATAGGTAATTCTTTTATTCACAGCTAGATTCTATTCATTGGTTTTTGTTATCTTACAGGTATTCTGGTATCGTTAACCATGCTAAAGGCTGGTGTCCTGGAAGCAAAGCGGCGAATTTCAGTCAGAATGGTTCCTATGCTACTGTGCCCAACATTAACATAAGAACCTGTGACTTTACAATTGCATTTTGGGTAAAGTGTAATGATGTTGATGGGCCTATACTGGCACTTTGGTCAAAGGGTGGAAAACTATTTTACGTTACAGTCAAGAAATCCCGTCTTCTTTTATCGATAGACAACACTTTCCACTTACAAATCAGTTACTGGAATCACGTAGCAGTAACCTGTCAGCAGCATAAGATCAAGGTGTTCGTTAATGGTACGGAGGAGGCATTGATAGACCAATGGAATGAGTATTTCTTCTCATCGTTAGGCCATTATCAGTCAGAGTATATCATAGGGAATGATCCAGGTTTAGTCCAGATGCCAATGACAAATTGTGTGTTTGTTGGAGCAGTCATGGATCTTTATGTGACTGGAATAGCTTTATCTGCGAAGCAGGTCTCTGACCTGAGTAAAGGTGGGAGTAGTATCTATTCGACGATAAATCGTACTCTTCGATCCTTAATTGGGGTCACTTGGATCTTAAAAAAATGAATGTTCTTTTTACAGTCTAGGTTTTAGGCTTTTGAAGATTGTGCTAGCTTAATGTTTTGTCATAATTCGTCATAATTTTCATCAATTTTCCAAAAATTATTGTAATAATTTGCACTTTTGGCTAGTTTTACAGCTCAACAATCATCATGTTACCAATTATTTTGGCCCGAGAGTAGAATTTCAGGCAAATTTAAGTAACAAAATCAATTTTTTGTCTGCTTATATTGTCACATTCATTGGACTTAGGTCCCGCAGGAATTAATCAAGATAATCAAGAATTCTTTTTACAGGACTCAACGCATGCGCATAATTAGCTCGATTACTTAAGATGGCGTCAGCGTGCTGGTCGTTAATTCAGGTTTCAGTTTTTGTAGTTGTTAAACAGTTTTGTAGGTTTAGTGGTGTACCTTTCTACATTCATTTATCACTGCAAATACATCAGTGGGAATCTATAAGTAATCGCAGTATTATTCTCATTATTTAAAGGCAAACCAATTACACCCGTGATAAACAGCAAACAGTCGGAAATACATGGTTGCAAAGTCAATGTAACGTGGAGTAGAAAAGAAATATGCACTATAACAAAGACCTCTGTACGGTTTAGGGAGATGAAGCCCCTAGGCATTGGAGCTGAATGGACAGAATATAAGGTTTCTTCAACCACCTTTCATCTTTTATCACTGGAATGCGACAAGGGGTATGAAATTGGTGTGTCTTCCTGGTTTGGAGAAGTTCAAAGTGACTGGTCAGTTTCTTGGAAATTTAAAACCCGCTCTACAGGTGCGACATTACCTTATGTATGTTTAATAATAGCTGATAGGTTTTGGTATTGACACCAAACCATATCCAGTTGAACCTCTGCTTAGGGTCCACAATAGCCGGGTTCTCAAATCCCGCCTTCCCGCTAGTTTTTTCTTCTTAATTCCGCTATCCCGCCTAGTCTGCTACACAGCCACAAAGTTTGTGGGGAGGAGCGTTGCGTGACGACACTAAAAATTGCTGTGTAGCAGACTAGATCCCGCCCTAATTTTTTTTACGAGTTTCCTGCTTTAAGTATTGAAATATTAAAACGTTATACAATGTTTAAGAGCTTTCTTGCAATAGGCAGCTTTCATGTTTAAGACTCTTTACTTAACCATTAATAGCCTGGGATCAGGCTTCATAGTGGGGAAATTAAAAAGGCAAAAAATGGGATCAATTTTGTTCCCTTTTCCCCCCACTGCGGAGCCTGGTCCCAGGATAAACCATTAACGACTGTAACTTTATTTTCTGGTTTGCTTATTATTTTTTGGGAGAGCATCAGTACAAAAAAGAAGGTCTACTTCGATCTGAGTTCTGGCCATTTGGAAACAGCCAGTTGAGTTGGGTAGATGGATGTTTCGATTGCTTTACTAATAAATTGCATGAGGCGATGAAGCCAATTGTCTACGCTGCTAACGGCTCATGGAAAGTGTGATGAACACACTGGTTGGACAGATTGATACAATTTTCTCTTCTATGGAAACCCAAACTTCCAATGGAATAGAGCAGCACAAGCAACTGTAGACAACTTCCTTGCAGAAATTTTTCTTTTCCACCCTTCTTGCGCTTGGTCCTCGATTTCTCCCTCTTTTGTACTGCTATTGTACCTTATTCCTGTTTAAAATCTCTTTACTTTCTTCCATTCTTAAATCCACTCAATAATAGGTGCGTGTTACCTGCAATAGTTTGCAAACCAGTCCTTTTTTCTCACAATCGGTTTTAAAAGGTGCGAAGTACAGGCGAAGACTGTATAAAATTAACCGCGTATTTTTCGCGTCTCTCCCTAGTCTAATTCGTTTTTTGGCCACACTCCAGACCTTTCCATTGACCGTTCGCGCACACCGTCAGTTACCAAGTACCGGAATAAGACGAAAACACGCAAAGGTGATAATGGATAAAACTGACAGGCTTCATTTCCTTGGCGACTAGTAGTTCCTAGTACATGGGCGGTGTACACCAAAAAGTCAAAATGTGGTCACGACAAAACTTAATTCCCGTGTCCCGCTACTTTTCCCTTACGATTCCCGCATCCCAACCCCATAAAAATAGGAAATCCCGCTCCCGCTCATAATCAATATTTCCACTTCCTGCTCCTTTTTTTAGCTCGCATCTCGAGTATCGCCACAAAAAAAAACAGCCGAATCCCGCTTCGCGCCAGACCTATTGTGGACCCTTTCTGCTAGGGGAAGACCTCTAGGGAAGTAGACACCCTCTCTCAGCTCCCTCATAAGCCAAGTGGGCAGTAAAACAAATCAAGACGGAAATTTACCACAACAAAGCCTTTTGAAGTTCAATAACAATAAAAATGTACAGATTAGTCTCCGCTTACTGGAAGTTTATCTGTAATTTATGAACTTTAAGCGACCGTTCTTCTGTGATAAATAGCCTGTCACGAGGCTGTATGTTCATGGCCATCTTAATTGGCCTGCATTTCTACATTTTGCAAATTGACGGTGAAGCTGGCAAAAAGAGACCAATTTCAATATATCAAAAGTCATACCTTGGGGAAATAAAATAAAAGAAATGTATTATTCATTGTTGTGCCTCAAGTGTGAATTTGAAAATGTCAAAATTGTTCTATAGTATTTAACATTTTCTTTTATCCAAACCACTTTTAGAGAAAAGAGGTCAAAAAGCTTTTAGGAAAGGTTTCTATAAGAAAATCACAATCAACTGCAAAAGCGGTCAACTGGTCATGTTTGCTTCCCCTTTAAGGTTACGTTAACACGGTACCGGTCGAATTTTCAAACGGTTGAAAAATTTGACAGGACACTTCGTTCACACAGAACCGTTCAATATTTTTGCGCTGTTCACACAGAACTGTCGAGCTGTAATATTTCCAAGCAAAGCGAGTAATAACATGACTCGTAAATCCATGTTCGCAATATCTGGTTGCTATTTTGGTATATACTTAATGGTGGAAAGCCACAAATGCACCGGTAATACTAGTAGTTACCTGTAGTTCCTAGTAGTAACTGGTAGTAACTAGTAGTTAAAGGTAGTTACTAGTAGTTACAGGTAGTTACTTGTAGTTACTGGTAGTTGCTTGTAGTTAGCTATATTCCTCTCTTTTTCCAGCTGAGTAACCAGGCGTCCATGCAGCCACGCATTTGCCGTGCAAAAATTTTGCCGATTTTGTATTCAAACAGAAGCAAACAGGTAACCAATGTAGCTCGCGAAGCAGAGGCGTGGTAGGGCACGACTTTCGACCGCAGTAAGTTAAGCGAGCACTAGCATTTAAAGAACAAGTCTCGTGTATAAATAGTAAACAAAAGCGGTCCGACACAAGAACCTTGAGGGACACCCCATTTTAAGTCAAACGGCTGCGAGAGCGTCTCCTTTATGCAGATTCTTTGACATCTCCCTTCCAAGTTCGATTTGAACCAGGAAAGAGCAGTACCACGGACACCTACAATCAGGGACAAAAGTAGTTGACACACTTGTTTAAAACGGGTGCTTTGAACAAACATTTAATTCATTTATTATTTCATTCCTTTTAAACGCCGTAAATCCCCCGACCCCCCGAATCAATGTTGTCTGAAGTTAAAAAAAGACTCGAGGGTCCAAAATTCAACATTGATTTTGGGGGGAAGGGGTTGGGATAAACGGGGGAAGGGGATAAGTATGTTCACTATGCAAAAAGGGGCCATTTTACGGAAGTGTGTCAACACTTTTGTCCCTCATTGTCTGAATGCGAAATTGTGCTACTGCACACAAGTTGAGCCGCGTATAACACTGATTTTAACTGAAATTAAAGGAATCAATGACATAATTATGTTATTGGTGGTGGGGGTGACATAGACTTATTCACGACCGAATTATAGGGCCAATTCGAATTACGCGATGACGTAATAAAAGGGCTGCGATATCCAGAATTAACGTCGATATGGTTTACAAGCTAAAAACTGACGCTGAAACTCGCGCCTATATACAACTTTTGATGAATTTCAAGGGGGTGCGTACTGAAAATATTTTTAATAAAGTGGATATTTCTCGTTCTTCACTTTATCCTATTGTTAAGGCCCAAACAATCACGGATAGGGTAAGGATTGACACGTAGTGGGGATAGTCACTGGCCGGCCACGGAAATATGGAGCGTTAGTGAGGAGCGGCCGTCACTGCGTTCAATATCGAAACTACGGAAAAGTGAAGGTAAATTCATGGCCAATTCAATAAAAAACTAAGGACAGCGTAGCAAACATTGCAAGTGTACACGAAAACAATTACTTTCAATCCCACCTCGTGACACCATGAGTGACATGATAACGCAACGCAAATAGCGTGACATGAGCGCATATGTCTGTGTATTTGGACTGTATTTCTCAAGCGAAACCCTGTGTTTTTGTCTATTGTCGGCAGAGAAAATGAAAAGAGAGCTTTGAAACGTGAACTGGTATTTGACTCTCAAAGAAAACGACAGCTCAAACTGAGGAAAACACTGCTTCCTTCGTGTTACAACGGTTAACCACGTTTCGGAAAACGAAAAGTAAAATGAGTCTGTTATGACCTCTTAATGTCCATATGTATTCTCGTGGTTAACCGTTGAAACTCCTTATTTGCACCACATCGCTGGAATTTTTCTTGCCAAGAATACGTATTGCGAAGTACTTTCTACATAGCGGAATCTTCTTTTGCCTTTCGTGAGGAATTAGCGCATAAAAAAGGAAAATTTTCCAGCGCACGGCCGTCATTGATCACATGTTATCCCGCTTTCCTTGTCATCAAGTGAACTTCTGGGCAAAAGTAATTGCTGTTTTGGCGATGACGCAAACTGGTGTGTCTATCTTGAAAACAATTTCTTTGGTATTCTGTGATTTACGAGCTGGGAAATGAAATAGTTGTCCATCCAACATCAATAAAAAAATTATGCCACTGAATAAATGGCAGGCGGTCATCTAAAATCATTACAAAAGTACATTCCAAAACCTGGTCTAACCTGTTCGACGCCTACCTACGCTAAAGGTTTGGATCACTTAGGTTTGAAAAGGTCTCCAAAAAAAACACACATCTATATATAGGACATAGCACAAACGGCTGGCCCATCATTTATGAGGTTCATAACCTGTATATTGTTCACGTCCTTTCACTAATGGCACAAGTCAATGTCAAAAATAATGCATGTCCCCTCAGTTACTCTGCAGTACTTCATTCGCTTAAGTTAATCATTTACCAGAACAATTTCCATTGCACCTTAGTGTTTCCATCCTTTTTCCACTATTGATAATACTTGTGAAAACATTACATCCGCTGCAACGGCATTGATCATAACACAAATGATTTCCTCTCGACCCCACAGGGTATCAGGAACGCGCGCGGAAGTACAAGATTAAGTGATGACATACGCTTCGTACATTTTACTCTACGTATACTACAAATCAGGACGAAACTTTACAAATTGTTGTTTCTAAAAAAAACAATTTGGCCCATAGAGTAACGTCATCGCACAAAAATTCAGCAGCGTCAAAAATCTAGCCGGAAAACACAGATACATATTTCAGACAATCAGGGACAAAAGTAGTTGACACACTTGTTTAAAACGGGTGCTTTTAGCAAACATTTAATTCATCTATTATTTCATTCTTTTTAAACGCCGTAAATCCCCTCACCCCCCGAATCAATGTTGTCTGAAGTAAAAAAAAGACTTGAGGGTCCAAAATTCAACATTGATTTTGGGGGGAAGGGGTTGGGATAAACGGGGGAAGGGGATAAGTATGTTCACTATGCAAAAAGGGGCCATTTTACGGAAGTGTGTCAACACTTTTGTCCCTCATTGTAGTTTTATTGAAGCGATTGTAGTAAAATCCCATGGTCAACGGTGTCGAAGGCGGCACTTAAATCCAGCAGTAGTAAGAGTGATACATGGCCCTCGCCCATATTCACGAGTAGATCATTCCTTACCTTTAACAATGCAGTCTCCGGACTGTGATGGGAGCGATAAGCAGATTGTAATTGAGGGAAGAGATTTTTTGTAATTCTGTGACACTGAATCTGAGAGGCCACCACACGCTATGTTAATTTAAACACAAACAGCGAGTTGCTCATTAGACGAAAATTCTTGAACAGTATATAGAAGCCGGGCTTTTTAAATGATGTGTATACCACAGCAGTTTTCCAGGTTTCAGCAAAATATCCAGTCTCCAAGGAGAGGGTGATGATATTAGTAATGACAGCAAGGAGTGAGTCTAAACATGCAGATAATAAGGAGACAGGTATTGGGTCCAAGATGCAAGATTTGTTCTTTCCAGATGGAATCATATGACGACCTGTCTCAGTCGTTTGGCATTGGAAGTGGGAAAGTACAATATCACCAGATTCAGATTCCAGGTTGGGCTCGGGCGTTGACAGCAAGGATTTCGTCCAGCTATGACATGATACTGGTAATCTTGGCAGTAAAAAACTGACCCATATTGTTTGCAAGCAGTGAAGAGATCGATCTTTCTTCATATTCAGTAAACTCTTACTTGTCGCGAACAGCCTCCTCTGGTCTGTGCTGTTATCTTCGATAAACTGATTATAGTAAACACGGCGTGCCTCATTCATCAAATTCACCACACGATTTCTTTCCTTCTTAAAAGCAGCAAGATCAACAGGTAATCTTGTAGCTCTCCACGTCTTTTCAGTATTTCGTCTCAAGCGCTTGGCATCTCTAATATCTTCATTGAACCAAGCAGCAAGAGGCCTGACATTAATGTCACGAGTTAAGACAAGTGCGTACATATGCAGTTGAGACCGTAACGACTAATTATAACAGCTGACTAGAGAGTCTAAGTGGTTAGGTGATCACGATAAAGCTGAGAAGAAGGAATGGCCTCAGAAAATTGGTTGGGGTCAATTGATTTCATTTTCCTGAACTGCACATGCGTGACATTAGCTTGAGGTCTATCAAATCTTGACAGAAGACTGGAAAATGGTCGGAGAATAACTCACCAATAGAAGGGCAAGCAGCAATGATGTTATCAGATGTACGAGTGATAATCAAGTCAAGTGTATGACCAAGTTCATGCGTAGTAGACAAACATGCTGCGTGAGACCCATCGACTCCGGTATATCCGACAGGTAGGTCCATACGGATGTTAAAATCGCCCAGAATTATCAAGGGCTCACTTGACATGACCAGAAACTCGAGGTAATCGGTAAAGGGCTCAATGAAAAATGTGGATGTGGTCACAGGATGTGTAGCAGAATGTGGAGGCCTGTAAACTATAACGAGTAGTAAACGGGAAGTAGTTACTAAGAAACTTTTAGCTTATTCCGTTTATAGGTTTACTAGGAAACTAATTCCGACCATGTTTATATAGCAACAGCTCTTTACTTTTATGATTGTTTGTATCCCTCAGTGCCCAGAGAAGCTCTTACAGTTTTACTCTCCTACAGGAGTTCCTATCAGTAAAGATGATACTGCAAAAATTGTCTGGATAGTGTTGGGAGTTTCTGTCGCTCTTTCTGCTTTGGTGGTGGGGATAATTGTCTACCGTAAGAGAGCAAAGAGGAATGAACGGTATTTGATAAAATGATATTGTCTATATGAATGTTGTGTATTATGATAATGATATGCATGTCTTTAAGTGTCTGTCTCTCTCAGTCAAGTCGTGCTGGTGAGTGACCATGCTTACAAGACCAAGGCGATGTAACATTTATCACCTTGTGAGCATTACCACAAGCCCATGATTAATGACGACGAATTTCATTAACATTTCATTTGCACTATTTTCCTTAGATCCAGTGAGTCTGACATTGCTGAGTTTATGTTGCTGGAAGTCCCACACGAGCGGGTTACTATCATGGAGGAACTGGGACGAGGCGCTTTTGGAAGAGTTTATAAGAGCGTGATGAGGGGGTTACCTGAAAAGAATACATCCTCCAAACCCAAGGATCACAGTTTGGATTCGAATAAGGGACGTATTGTTGCTACAAAAGTTCTTCCAGGTGCGTGAGTTCAGAATATGGCAAAAAGATAACTTACTCTTTCAGCAAACGCTTTTCACGGGAGTAATTGTTATTAATATAACAGGAAAGAGAGCCTCTCTTGTAACAGGTTTGAATATTTAATCCAATAGATAGCAAACATTATATCGTGGAAAGCAGCATCTCAATGCCCCAGTCGGTAACATTGAGATGTACAGTAAAAACCCACGTATAAGAACCTAGGTTTTTCCAAGTTAGCCTAAACAGGTTCTTATATAAATGGTATTTAGTGTAAAATTAGGCTAACTAGGTTCTTAATTAGGTTCTTAACTTTTGTTCAAGAAATAAAGCTGAATTTTTAAATGATCTGCTGTTTAATGTCCAAAAACAGAATTCTTGGAGGCTTCGTTAAGCAAAATACTATACTATTTTAATCTGATTCTGTTACAATCAAACCCATGGTAAAGTTTTATGAAACCATGCTATAGTGTTTAGAGTATTATTGCATACAGACTGTGTTATATATATATTTATTAAAAACTGAATCATGCATTGGATAATGCAATTCTAGCATTTTGATTGGCTTAGCCGTTATGGTATATGAGCTATTATACCATGCTCTCCATATATGGTTGGTGTACGCGTCAGTTTAAAATTGGAAGCTAGCTGAGATTTTTTTTTTTGCGAAGGATAGAACGGCGCCCGAAGCAAATCGTTTTAATTCATTTCTTAGAATACTAGAAATGCAGTTTCATCGAAAGAAAAAAGACAAAAACAAACAAAAAAGCCACAATAGCTTGTTTGAAAGTTTGTCGAAAAACACATGAAAACAGATGGAACTCAAGTACCTTGACCAGCTACGAAAGAAGACAAGTGTTGTTTCTTGTCGCGAAGCCATTCGCCGATCGAGTCACTCGCCGATAGATAACTGTGGCTTGTTTATCCGACATCAAGAATATAGATCACAAGTAACCAGCTACAAATACAGGCTATGCAGCCATTTACTAGAGCCATCGAGGCGGCAGTATAGCTTCTTTTCTCGTTCAGCAAAACCAGCTTGTGGCTTCAAACAACTTCATAACAAGCGACCGAGGTAATAGTTTTTCTCCGTTGTTCTGCACCAAAAATCCAAATTCACAGTAATTTCGACGACTGTCACTTAAAAATTCCTTTCCTTTACATTATCTGCCAGGTTTTTATAGCTGTCCTGCTGTGTAAAATCCTAGAATCCCCAAGATTTTTTAAAAAACTAATGTTCATCAATGTTTTGATTTTTCATTCATGCAGTCCAGGCGAGTCCGTTCGCGCGTTGACAGTTTTGATAGACGTGTGACATGTGAATAACGGAAGTCCCTTGTCTTTTCCGGTTTGTTCTAGCGAGATTTTTTGGGCGTTTTTAATAAAACAATTATTCCACGAGGGCGCGTTGGATATGAGATGATAGATAGCCAACGAGGCGCGTAGCGCCGAGTTGGCTATAATCATCTCATATCCAACGCGCCCTCGTGGAATAATTGTTAAATATATATACATTTTTTTTTTTTGAAAATAAGAACCTGTTTTAGGATTTTAGCCTAAAATGGTTCTTATGTGAAGGGTGCTTAAAAATGAAATTTTAGCCTAACAGGTTCTTAAATGTTAGGTTCTTATACACGGGTTTTTACTGCACCTCACGGGGCCCATTTTAGATCTAAAATTTTGTTTTCTACTTATATTAATGACCTCACTGAATGTTTGCAATTTACCACACGATTTGCAATGAATAGATTAATGTAGACATAAAAACCTTCAGTGAGACCAGAACATTGATAAGGTTTCTTCCAAGGTTGGTCGTGTTAAGATATAAGTGGTATTAGACAGGCTCGAGATTATGTCACATTATTTGAAAGTACTAAGAAGTATATAGCGCTTAAATCGATGCCCGTGTTCAAGCGAAAACCGAGCGGGCACCTTTTAACAAAACCACACATATATAAAAAATGCAAAACAGAATAGGCTGCATGATCTCTTCTCAGGGCTGTGACATGATAACAGATTATTTCTTTAAACCAATTCAAAATGTTAGTGCATGCCTTCGTAACGTGTAGATTGGTCGTTCTGTTATCTGATCTTTCGAAATACACTCTTTTTTTTCTATAAGAATATATTTTATAAGAATATCGAGGCCGAAATTTGCGAAATGTTAAGAATACTTTACGAATAAACTCCAGGCTGAGATTTTGAAAAGGATATAATTTCGTGTGGTGAAAATCTGTAAATACAATACAAATATACGTTTTCAATTTATTCCTTTCTTTAAACGGCAAAACTAGCTAACTATATTTAACAAAACTATAATTGATACCTTAATATATTCTAAAACGGAAATGTCATAAGCTATTATTAAGAATAATACAAGCCTAAAATCGACGGAAAAATAAGAATATTCAGCCTGGCCCGGGAAAACAATATTCTTATATAAAAAAAAAGAGTGTACGTTATTCACATGTTTCAGTCACTTGAGAACTTGGTGTGGTTTTAAATATGACCAAATTATTGCTTTACTTAGAGAACTATATTGGCTTTCCCTGGAGCATGAGTAGCGGAATTTTAAATTATTTATGTCCGAGCTATAACCATCATTTGTTTCAAACTTACAAGCCTGGTAGGAGTTCACGATCATCAACCACGAACATGTTAATTAGTGACACCCAGATCAAGGCTAAAATTTTATCGGGCGATCATGCTTTTTCGTTTGTGCCCCTAAACTTTGCAATAATTCTCCAGAGCACATAGAGTGTAAAATGGAGTTTGAATATTCGTTCTTCTAAAAGCAATCTTAAAGCTTTAAAAACCTCTTAGCGTTATTTTTATTTCGTAGTTTTGTTTAACAATTTTTCTTTTTGGTAATGTTACGAGTTTAATGCTGCTTTCTAGTGGTTTAAGTTTAAAACATTTATTTGATGACGATGACGGTGAGCCGTAAATCCTTTATGAAAGCCAACTACAAAAGCATACTGGGATGTCCCTGTCTATGCAGAGTCAATGAACGTGAGCCAGTTGGATAGATGCGTTGCGATTACAAATGTACACTCAAGGAAAGTCATATTACTGGAAATAAAGTACCCGTGGGTCGAGAATTGGGAAGCAATTAAGGAACACAAAACTTGACGTCTAGAATTAGAGAGACAAGTTTCCGGACGAAAAGATCTTCCAGTATTACATCATGTCATATGTTGTGCTTGGTGATCGCTATATGAAGAGAACTGACGGTTTTTTCTTTGTGACTTTCTTTTATGGACGACACTTAACTTACGGAACCATTTTTTCCTCAAGCAGAAATTAGGACCTGAGCTATTGACTGTGTTATATTTTCATAGGTTAAATTTACTTTCATTTTAATTAGTTCTCTTTTTTCTTTGCATCTGGTTTTAGTTGTTTAGCACTAACTGATATCGTGTAGCGTTTACGTAGGTCACTGTTACCTGGATTTTCTTTAAATGTCTTTTTTTTTAGAAAATTCCACGGAGGAAGACAAACGGCAGTTAGTTCGGGAAATTGAGCTGATGAAGGAAGTTGGAACACACCGTAATATTGTGAGCATGCTCGGGTACTGGATCCAATCATCTCCCATTATGTTAATCATGGAATATGTTCCGAACGGAGATCTTCTTCAGTGGCTCAGAAACAAAAGGCAACAGGTATAATTACTTTATCGGCTGTATCAATAAAAATTTGCTGCCCTCTTTTTTGCCTTTTGTTTAAAAAATATTTTCTATCCATTCGTAATAGGGCTGCGCAAAGGTATTATTTATAGAACTCAACTCAGACAAACAAATTCCTCAATTTTGTTTGTCTTTTTGTCATTAAAATGTCAAGTTTGTCTGACTTTTGTCGTGAAAATAACAAAAATGGCAGATTTCAGAGAAATATAGCAAATTAGTCACTCTGAAGTCATTAGTATTCTGTGCTGCACTTTCTAATGAACATCGTCCTGGGCGTGTATGTTCTTTTTCTTACATTGTGTGGTCTCTTAAGGCAGAAGGAAAATCCTCTACCTCATCACACGTCTAAAAACCATCGTCTTCAGTAAAAATAGTAAGATGCTAAACAACTACATGCTATTCATGCATTCGGAAAACAAAGATCTGTAAATACACAAAAATTTGTATTCAACGCTGAGTTAATAAAGCCTAGCTTGCCCCGGTAGGATCAGTTAAGGTTTTGCGGGAAACTGCCCACCTATCCTTTCCCTAAGCCACATTTTGCCCTAAGTGAGAAGGTGATGTTAATGTTGTCTTAGGGGAGGGGTAGGTGGTCAGAAAAGACCACATACATTTTCTGTTTCCACTGATTCTAAGGTCTTGTTTTTCCCTTGAACTGGGCTTCATTTTCCATGTTTGGGTCTTTAATAGGATATTGGCTTTCGCTTGTCTCAACTATTCGAAAGTTTTGAGAGTACCCCCTCCCCCCAGGTGGGCGTTAACCTTTTCTGGTCAGCATGAATCACGGGATTACTAATGGTGGAGCTACGCTATTGTTTGAACATGGTAACAAGAAACGAATAGTTTACTTCAACGAACGCTTTTCATTCTGGTAATTTACTTATTTTTTCTCTCATTTTCTCATGTATTCACCATAGTTGAGCTCCGCCATTTGATAAACCGTCCTTGATTCCAGCTAACAAAGGGCTTCCACTCAAAATCCCCGTCAGCTTTTCCATCCACGGTCTTTCAATGGTGGCAAGATGAGTTATTCAAATTAACCCATAACACCAGTGAGAGTCTTGCTTTTCAACCTCCGACCGACGTAGTAGAAAAGTTTCTTTTTAAAAAACCCTTCAAAATATTTTGGTGGAGATAATGATTGTGCATCCCGGAAGCCCTGTACGAGATATGACGTCACAAGTGGCATTAGGTCAAGCCAAATATTCAAAAGCACACGTCGCGTTTTTGGGACTGTCTATCTTAAAATGTCACAGAAAATTGTAACAAAGCAGAAGAAAAGCTTTGTTTCTATTGCAGTTTAACCCATTTGAATTTTCCGTGGACGATTTAAATAAAGTTGGCCTATAAGGTATTCCCGGCTAGATTTTCAGTTTAACGTCGGATAAGTAATCTTTGAATTCACATGGTTCCTTTTAAATGCTGGGTAAAGATATTTCGGCTAACCAGCTGATATTGTTGAAATTGTTTCTGCTGACAAAACCGTGTCGTGATCAGACGGAATTCATTTCAATATTTTTTTGCAGCTTACAATGAACAAGAGTCGTCAAAGTGATGTCGTTGAAAGGCTTAAGCCTCCTGTTCCTGAGAGGCCGAAACTGGTGTCCAGAAACCTGCAAACAAAAGATGTCCTGGATGAAAACCTGAAAGAGGAGAACAGGGAAAGAAATAATGAAGAAAGTGGAAAAGACGGTGGTTATCATTCCAGTGCGACGAAGGAAATTAAAATGGACCTGGACGACGTTGAAAGAGGAATTCTAATCAACGATGCTCCTCGATCTGAGATGGAACCTCTCCTGGGTTACGAAGATGACAAGGAGGAAGAAGAAAGTGACGATGTCAACACGTCATTTCAACAAAATGAACGGCGAAAGGGGTCGGTTACGTCGGTGATGGTGTTACCTTCCATCAGTATTGCCCATTTCTCCAAAGAAAAAGGGCTCACTCCCGCTGAGCCTTTGAGAAACGTCGAAGAAAAGATCACCATCGAGAAAGAAGAAGGCAGCTGTGAAGGCAAGGAAGATGATGAAGAAGACATTTCTGGGAAAGAAGTTCTTTGTTATGCGTGGCAGATTGCTAAAGAGATGGTAAGAACTTTTTCGACGGAAGAATGTCTTTAGCAATTTAGTCATCGTTTGCAAATCACAAAAATCTGCCTCTTCCCCGTATTTAAAATACTTTACTACTAGTTTTTTTCTGTGTCTGCAAGTATTATGCTATCCGGACATGAGACGGCAGATTTTTGAAGCATTCAAATTGCTGCGTTAATTATAACAGACCATTATAGGGCTAACTACTATCTTGCTGAATTTTTCGTGAAACATAGCACACATAAAATTGAGCCATTTGATTTAAAAAAGGTCAAAAACGAGTTTTTTTATAGCCTGAGAAGCCTAAAAATCAAATGGAGCCGTCGTGAAGGTACCTATTGAAAAATCAGGTCTGTTCGTATTTTCGAAAAGGTGTGCAATGAATACAGCCATACGACCTGAATAAGGCTAAGCTATCAGTTATTTAATTTGAATCGTACAAGCCTGACATTCAGGAACGTTGCCAGCTTTTTGGCTAGTTGTAGGCCTGGCTGACTTTCATTTCCATATATCCTGAAAATTGTACGCATGACCAGTACGCACTGACCTCACCGACACTTTGAGCTCGTGTTTTTTCAGTTGACTCCAACAACGCATAATTTATTATTACAAGCGGTAGAGTGATCAAACCAAAAATTTGAAGGCCCAGGCCTACAGGGCTATGGGCTGGCTAAGCCCATGAGAAAAGAAGGGAAGTAGAGGAAAGAAAAAGCAATGGTTAAATTTGTTTTCGTGACTGGAAGACTGAGCAGCAAGGACTTTCTAGATAAATATACTCCAGTACTCGGAATCTTGGAAAGCACAATAAACGGTCTACCAGTGGAACTGATGATTGAAGGCAAGGGATTGCTTTTGTAAACGGCCACCATGATGGTATTTGCTAACTATTGTAAGCTCAATTGATATATCTGGTGGCTCAGCTGTATATTTGACTTTTGGGTTTCGCAGATAACTCCCTTCTGGTGATCCGCATAACTCTGCCTCATCCAATAATCGCTGTTTATTGATTGGTATGAATGAACCTTTTTTAACGAAAAAATCTAATCTCTAAAAGAATAATGTTCACTGAGGTATGCCGTTTTGGGTGACTTCGAAATAGAAATCAGCAGTATAGTAAGAACCAATAGGTTTTTTTCTCTTTTTCGTGCGTGGCAGGCTAAGGAGGGCTTTATTCCACTCACCTTAAGTCTCCCTGAAAAACAGCAACAGGTGTCAACGGGCTTTCTTCCGCGGTTGAAAACTTAACTGAAAACCTTACTTTTTCAGCCAATATTCATCCCTTCGAGTTATCGAGAGTAAAATTGTATGAAAGTGATCTGAAGGAAAACAAAAATTACTTCGAGTTAGCGGGAGTTTCGAGTTATCGAGGGTTCGAGTTACCGACGGTAAAGGAAATCCAGGGGAAATCGATTCTGGTTCGAGTTAGCGAGGGTTCGAGCTGGAGTCGACTGTAGTTCACTTAGCTTGTTCAACTTTGACGGCTTTTTGCGCTGAAAAGTATACGTCGCGGGGATTTCTTGGTCAATTCCTTAATTTGTTTCTTGTTTTCCAACAGCTGTGACGGAAATCCTCCCTCCATTCTTCATGAATAGACCGACGATCACTTCCTCCCGCTTTCCAGACCTTTTGCCAGGCACAGCGTGCAGTCGCTTGTTCAAGGCTCTCGATAGTAGGGTGGCACCGGCAAAAATAAGGCAAAAAAGCGTAAGGTACCGGCAAAAAAGTGTAAGGCACTGGCAAAAATATAAAAGCGTGATCTAGGAAAAAGGGGCGATGGCGGGCTATCTTTGAGCCTGCAACAGACGTTTCATTGTACTTGGTTGCTTTTCCGCCAAATCGTTAAATCGGGAGTTCGTTTACAACGATATCCCGATTAAACTGCTATCCCCCTGCCATATCGTAAAATCGAGCTTCCATTTTAATTTCATATTGGAAATGTTTTGTTGATCTAAAGGTATCTGGTAACTAAAAATTGTTTGAGAAAAAATTTCATTATTTCTGTGCCAGGAATACTTGGCCAGCAAAGGATTTATTCATCGTGACCTGGCAGCCCGTAATATCCTAGTTGGTGAGGACAAGGCGGTGAAGATTGCTGATTTTGGTTTGTTACGCCACGCAAATGAGAGTGAAATATACGAAGTTACGAGCGTACACAAGCTACCAATGAAATGGATGGCACCTGAGGCGTTGGAAAGTGGCATGTTTACTTTCAAGACTGACGTGTAAGTATATGTTAACGAGGTCGCAGTTAGACCAAGCTTAGGCTTCCTGTAATGCAGTGTGAAGTTGAGGTTTTAGATAACATAGACCTTGCAGTGTTCTGTTTAGAACTGTCTGAAAAAAAGAGCACAATTTTGATCATGACACTGTCTACAGTAGCGGTTATCACTCTATCTAAAGAAATACTCAAGCGTTTGGAAAACATTAGCCTGTTCCAGGCGTGAAACTTGAAAATAAGATATATAAACAGAATCTTTGAGCCACTGAAGTTAATCTGAGACCATCTTGGATCCTAGATTCCAAGCTCCACACCCCACATTCCAGATACTAGATTCCGGATTCCAACTCAGAGTATTCCAGATTTCAAAAGGCCCAGATTCCAGAATTTCATAGTTAGCAGGATTCCAGATTTTAAAGTCCATCACTCCACTCAAAAATTTCCTGGATTACCATCCATGAGGCGAGATAAAAAAAAATTGATATTTCTATGAATTTAATTCTTGCTATTTCTTTATCTACTTCCTTTTAATGCAGATGGTCTTTTGGAGTTGTTTTGTGGGAACTAGCCACCATGGGTAAGCTAGTTTTATAAATCTTTGTATACTGATGCTGGTAGAATAATACTCCAGTACAGTCATTTCCTATACCCGAGGGAATTGAGAGGAATCCCCAATGACAGTAGTTAGGGAAAAGCTGACTGTTCAGTTTTAGGATAGCAGTCACGGGAGAATCGAACTGCTTTATAAAAGAAGCCATTCTTGAATAATGTCATGATTGCTAAACAACTAGAAAAAATAATAGGCTCATTTCCGCAGCTCCCTCGGCCGTCTTTACCGGGGAGGAGCGCAGGCTCATAATAATCCAGCCTATAAGTCATACCCTTAACCACAACTTGACCTGATATCACGTGTCACTTGGCGAAATGAATACTCAGTAATGCTAAACTTGTACATTACGTTATTTTAAACCCTCCTGGAGGTTGGTAGATTGATAATACATGATGGTCATTGAACTGAGTGGAGAGCAATTTGGTCCGAAATCATACGCGTGATTTCGCGCGCGAGTTCGATTTGAGATCAGAAGTATGATTTCAGACTAAAATTGCACGACACAAAGTGAAATTATCACTTTATTACAGCCATTTTGAAACCGCAAAATTCAATCCGTACCAGCAGTGATTGGCCGTGGCACCAGACAAGTTAGCTCGTTATCTCCCATACTCGTTAACATATATTCTGAAGCCATGCTAAGAGATGCTTTAAGTGGTGTGAATGAAGGTATTCGAGTGGGAGGTCATCTAATTAAGACAGTTCGCTTTGCGGATGATCAAGCAACCTTAGCCAGTTCAGTTAAAGGTCTGCAACTTATGATGGGTAAAATGCAGGAAAACTCCGGGGAATATGATATGAAGATCAATGTTAAGACGACTAAGGTGAAGAAAATCAGTAAGAGGCCTGGTGAGGAATTCACGATCTTTCTTGAGGGTAAACAGTTAAGTCAAGAATCGTCTCTCTTTAACTACCTTGGGAGCCTCATTACACAGGATGGATCCCGTGAAAAATAAATTAGATCGAGAATAGCCCGAAAACGCGTTTACTAAGAAAAAAGAACTGCTGACAAAAGCCTTCAGCGCGCTAGCCTTTGCCTGAAGAAGATAATTATAAAGACGGTCATCTGGGGTACTTTTCTGAATGGAGCCGAATGATAGACCTTAAAGAAAGAGGATCTGCGAAGGCTGGAGAGCTGTGGGATGTGGCTTTGGAGAAAAGGTTTTAAACATAACTTGATCTGTACCCTGCGAGCAGAGGCTACATTTTCGCGGTATGAGCTGGCGTGCGAAAAGTAACCTCTGCCGACAACCGTTCAGTTTTCTATCGTGCATGCGCAAAATTCGTCACGCGATTCGCAAGCAACTGGTTCGTCATATCTGCGTGAGTTTCGCGGGAATCAAACTTGCGAAAACTACCTGCGAACTACTCTCCTGGAGCTTTTGTTTTGTTTTTCTGCTTCGCCCCTTCTGGTTTTAAGTATTTTAGCCGCAAAATTTCCACGGATCGTCTTTTTTAGGAAAGTATTTTTATGCTATCAACATTTTTCCGGCTTTAAAATGAAATTCGCAGACAACGCTACGCAGAAGTGATGCTTGAAATAAATTGGATGCTGTAGTCTCACGATTGTGTTTTAAACTAATGTTATGAATGAACATAGACGAAACAGTAGTCAGAAAATTTATTTATCGAAAAATTTTATGCGAAAACCCATAATTTTATCCTTAAAAGCAATTCGCGTAATACTAACTGGATCGTGGATCATTTCACGCGAGTAAAAGCTGCCGAAGACATCAAATGTCAAGGCCAAAATCCGTCTCAAGTCGTATAAAACATCTATGAAACAACTATAAATACTTAAATTTCCATTTAAAAACGGAACTTCCTTGACCATTAATGTGCAAGTTGTACCTGAAAATTCTTTTAAAACTTTGCCGCTTTGGTTTCTTTTCAGAACAGGACAAGCGTTCCTTCGTGAAGAAGCCAACCAGGTTGAAGTCCTTGAGGGCGAATCAGTGTTCAGTTAAAAGCTTTTTTTCTGCTTTTTCCACTAAAAGAAAACTGATCGATGATTTTTTTGAACATTCCGGTTCCCATCTGTGTCGTAAAACAGTGCATTTAACCTTGCATTGAGAGGCGGCACAAAAATAACCGCAGTATCCATTTTCTTTTCCTGGCAAACAAAAACTACCATATGATAAATTAACGATCTTTACACGGTCCCGTAAGAAGCACCGGCAGCAGCTTGTTTCGGTATTCCGACAGCTTTAAAATACAGAGCTTATTCAAGTTGTTGACGACGCTCTTTTAAATACATAAACAGGGATTTTTCCTGTTGCTACGTTTGAGCTGTGTTGATCCGCGTTCGTATGCGAGAATTTGGCGCGAAGGGATGCATGAAGGCGCAATAATAGTCAGTGTTCATTCGCTGACGCAAGACTCACGCAATCCGCAATGCTCTAAACCGGTCAAGAACAAGAAAAAAGCCGGTTTTGTTAATTTATTCGTCCAGATTTCTGGACGGATTTGAACGGTTGTCGGCAGAGGCTACTTTTCGCACGCCAGCTCATACCGTGAAAATGTAGCCTCTGCTCTCAGGGTACTTGATCTGACAAAGTCTGTAACGAAGAAGTATTGAGGCGTGTAGGTGAGGAGAGGGCCATCACAGCTTTTATCAACAGAAGACAGAGAGTCTGGCTTGGTCAAACCCTACGACATGGTGATCATGTCCCATTAGTTATTTAGGGAAGAATACCAGGAAAGAGACCACCTGGAAGACCTCGAGCGGGAATGCTGGATAGAGTGAAGGATGGCAGCTCTTACGTAGCGGTCAAGAGGCGTGCCTTAGATCGAGAACCACGAGGAAGGACTTGCCTGTGGGCAGATCAAATAGCCTGTTGAAAAACGGAAACAAAAGGGCTTTTACATCTCATTTTGTATTCGAAACAGAAATGATGCGATATAAAGCAAGGTGCGACGGTGCGACGTGGTTTAGAACATAAATAACGCGATTTAGAACAGATATGATTGTGTGATTCGCAAATAAATCACACTGCTGAGAGCCAATCAGATTGTTGGGATCACCAGCGATTTCAAAATGAAAAATAAGAAAAGCCCAAAAATCTTTGATAAGACAGTATTGATCTTTATTTTGTTACTTTAGGGGGTAGACCATACCCTGGGATAAGCCCTATGAGGCTATGCAGTTTACTAAAATCTGGATATCGGATGGAGAAACCCAACACGTGCAGCGATGAAATGTAAGTCAGAATAGAAATAATAAAAGACCACCGAATAGAGGGCACGATGAAGGAATACTTACAAAGTCCTTCAAACAGTTTTTTTTTTCTAAAATTGTCAGCCTTTTCGAGGAGTGGAAACTTAAGCTCGCCTCTTTCCTTTACGTTGCCCCCATTCTAAAAAGAGCCTATGGAACATAAGTGTATTCAATATTCAAAGTAAATGGACACATATCTTTGTGTAGTGGTATTTTTAACTATGTTTTCCTTTTTCAACAGATACAAATTGACGATGGACTGCTGGAAGGAGGATGCAAATGAACGACCCTCATTCGCTCAACTAATACCGATACTGGAAGAGATGATGACAGAAGATACCCCTTACTATTATTTCAGACTACTGGATCAGAACCAGCCATGTTACCGTGAGGCATCCGCTACCAACACCAGTAAAACTAGCACTCTTGATACGAAGCTGTAATTTCTGTAGGGGCTCTATGGTTTAATTTTTTTTTCTTTAGATTATTATAGGGGTCTCGGGAGGATTCCAATATAAAGGAAATGCTTGACGGATAAGTAATTTAATAATTGCAGTTGCACCGTCTGCAACACCAAGAAACTATACCCATAAACTGAACACCGTTGTTTTCATCTTCACTGTTTGCCAGTATTCATAACCAGTCTCCTCAGTTACGATCACAAACGGCAGCCAAAGTAGAACACTCTCTAACTCATTATGACAACGTCTTTTCGTAGTAGATATTTCTTTACCCACAACCCTAAAGCTACAGGCAAACGGACGCAACAACTTCCAACAATGTTAAACAATGTTGCGAGTTATTGGCCAACACGGTTACGTCCGTTTGCAGGGGGTTAAGTGATACATTTATGGTTAAAAATATTGGCTTTTTGTCTTGCACAGTCAAAGTGAGACCACAAACTGTAATGTCTACGTCTAAGAGAGACGAGCAACCGCGTCATTTTCACATTGGAGTTCCCTTGCCCACCAAGGAACAGGACAGAGATGACGAGCGCAAATGTTTAATGGGTTGTTACAATAAGATACCTAATAATTTTTTAATTTCATTTGAAAGACATCGAGAAAATACTGAATAGCACTGGTAATATAACAATTGTAGGGACTAAAATCGGTTCATCCTCTACAAATGACTATTAAGTTGTTAGTAGTTCGGATTGCTTCTTTTGCTTTTTTAGTCTGTCCACACTATACTGGAAATAAATTTTCGTGTCGACATGAAAATGTATCCGGCAGTACGAACGACAACCGTATAGAACTGGAACAAGTCGTCCACACGTATCGAACATCGCACCAGAGCGGTCGGTTGGCCGAGAGGCCAGTTTTGTGAACTAAATCCCAGTGCTCTCTCCTAAAAATAAACTTTCATATCAGGTGGGTCCCAGCCTATGCTCGCTCCTACTCCTTTCACTTGAAAACATGTTCACACTGCGACGAAAAGTGGCAGAAACCTATCCCGGTGATATGTGACGATCCACTTTTCAAGATCGGCGGTGGCGTAACGCAGTTTCGCTCCTTAACAGAAATAGCCGGAAAATCACTGTTCTTTTATGTGAACTGACAAAAGCAAAATCCGGTATCATTTTCGTGTGGGTGCAAGGACTTTCTGGTATAGTGTGACTGATCATAGCCTTCAGAGTTCCTCAGACGCCAGATATTAACCTACCACATAATTCCGTGGCTACAATTCAATGTTACGAACGTTTCAATTGGCTAGGTTAGATTACAACATTGCCACTCGCTATCAAACATGTCATGTCATGTTAGAGAAACGAACTATTGACTCAAAAAGGTGTGATCAGGGGTAAGGTGATAAAAGGCACTTGGGTTCACCATAACAATATTGCGGCAGTAGAAGAAAAAAAGCCAAAGTATTGTAGAGACTTTTGCTGGTGTTGAATAATAATTATTATAGTGTTCATAGTTTAGATTTTTGTGTTCTTTCAAAAAGTGTTATAAGCAGATCACTTGGGAAACCCACGTCTGGGTATGAAAAGTGAAGATTCGGATTATCAGGGCAGTTCGGAAAAAATAACTTTCCATTTCCGACCAATGCTGCCAATACAATAAGCAATGCAGGAACCTTTGTTACAATTTCTTCAGCTAAGGTCTGGTTTGGAAGTCAGTATATATAACACACTATTCTCTAAAGGCACACAATCAGGGTCAGAGACGGGAAAGAAGTTATCCACCTCGGCGTTCATCCGATACCCCTCCTCGATCTGCATAATCTATATAATTCTTTTACTTAATGGCTCATACGCCAGGAACTAAGTCAGCACCAGCAAGAACGTTTCAGTGATCAATTTATACAACTATACATTTATTCATTTAATACATATTGCGTATTCACATAATAATATTGCTTCATTTTATAATGATAATAATAAATTATTGAATGGCAGGAGTAAGATAAAATATTGTAGGGGCTTCGGTATGAATGGGGTCACTTTGATATATCGTGCTATTCTTCCAACTCATAGCCAGGCCAAGACAACCAGAAGAAACGAAAGTCATCACTCTTCTTCCTCGTGTTCTCAGGACATGACGTCAATGGATATATCGACAGTGGCCTATTTCATAAACAAATGTCCAGCTTTTGTCAGTTTCTATATATTTGATGTCATTCTTTAAAATAAATTAAAGGCTTTTAAACTTTATCTGAGTTTGTGGTCATTTCTGAGTGATACGCTGAGAATCTCGAGAAAAGCAATCTCCCTGTTCCCCACAGGACAGGCTATTCAGCCTAATGATTCAAATTAGAGGAAAAGGGAGACCATTATGTTGTATCTTTGTGTGCTAAAAGTTAATCCGAATTACACATGTGCTTGATCACATGCCTGACATGTCGCAAAAGGCAAAACAGGTAGTGCAAGATCTTTTTCTCGTACCAGCTAACTGATAAATAACCAATTGTCTAGTCTGTGTATACAGCAACCCCTTAGGATTTTTCCTCAGGAGGGCTATTTTGAATGGACCGGCACAAGTCAAAAACGAGGGTTGTAAAAGAGCCGGCTACTTGGGCTCTCTAAGAAAGGGCATGACAGATTTCGGAAAATATATTGGAAGTTGGTGCGACAATAAAAATGCTTGTGGAAGATGTGAAACGTCGAACGCTTGGCAAAATTCTTGAAAGAAGACAACCTCTCTGACCATGACTCCTAAAACAAGCAAAACGACCCGTTCTATTTATTCTTCCTTTTTATATCTGCCTTAGGATAACAATATTCTAATCTTAGTAATATTCTACTTCACCATAACCGTAAGTGGAACAACTTGACCACCATATTTTTGGCAAGACCGCAGCAGTCTTTATAGGGCAAATTACGTTTTTTAAGTAAACGACAGAACTATGCGCCTTAAAATACAAGCATTTACAGTAGTTCTGTAAAAGCAACCAAGGATTTGCCAAGAAGAATAAAGCTGCGACTGGATTTGGGAGTTCTCGTCAAGTATTTCCACAACATTTAACAAAGATATTTTTGTACTTGTATACCAATTACGAGCCATTCGTTGTAAACCAAGAAAGGTTCAATAACTTTGACGGTTCTCCACAAAGTATGTTTCTACCAGCACCCCCGAAAACCAAACGAATTCATACTCCAGTCATCCTTAAAAACGGACTTTCAATAGCATGGAGTGAGGAATGCGTGAGGTTCTCGAGGGGCCTTAGTTATGCCAACTGAGAATCTAACACGCCATATTTCCCATATTTCACGGGACCAGGAAAAATGTTCTTCGCGGGGCCTTTCTTAGGGTAATAAAAATCTGGTGGGCGCTTCAACATCACGCCAAACTCGGACGAAAGGGTCGGTGCTGGTGGTGGTGGTGCAGGTTTTTGAATTGATGTATTCTCTGGAACTAACTCAAGACTCTTTGCTCGGGATAAACCCGGATTATTTGGTCTCGGCGAGCTTTTGCTCGCTTGGCTGAGTTCGCTTCTTGCGGATATATTGGGATCACTATGGACAGTCGAAGGTTTTGATTGTTTCCATGGATTGTGAAGGCCACCAAAGAACCCACGAGCACTCGAGAAAAGCAGCCCAGCTGTACGACTGACAACACCCGCTGACCTAGGCGCGTCAGCACTAGAATGGCTTTCAGGGGAAGGCTCGGGTCCGTTGGACGTTTCATAGCTAGGACTGTCAGGCAGAAGTTCAGGTGTACTGGACCCTTTACGCTTGCGATGACGTTTCTTCTCTCACTGGTATTGAAGGTATTACCCTACAGGAAATAGAGTACTACAGTTAGTAATCATTTCTAGATTAAGAGTGTTTCTCAATAGTGACCGTTAGATTCTAAGACGAGGACGACTACAAGGAAGAGATTTTGTCAATGGCAAGAAGTGCAAGGCGTGAGCCAACATCATTTTGGCGGGAAAACATGACAGCTGTGGTCATTCTACTACGCGTTTTAACGAGAATGTCATGGAGGCGGAAATAAGTTATCAAATGTTAGAATTTTTATCATTCTGCGATCGGAAGAGGGCTCAAACTCCTTCAATAAAAATAACCGTTCTAACTTGCAGTAAAACTTTCCAGGCAAAGAAGAGAGCAAAAAAACCTCTGAGTCGTCCATGCTCACAAATCTAAAGGTCTCTATTTTAGAATTTCTCCCTTCGAAAGAAATTCCAGCTTGATCAAAGCGGTGCAATATTTGTCGTGTGAGGAAGCAGCATGAAATCAGAGACAAGAAATCCTACTATCCTGTAAATACAGCCCACTCACATCGCTCCACGCCGTCGGGTCGGGACACCTAGCGACGGAGAGCGACGAGAGGCGGCTATATTTGCAATGCAACAGTATCAGTATACACCCTATTCTTTCCCCTTCTGGAAATAAACAGAACTGGCGAATGATAATTCGAGCTTACTCTAGAAACCTTCTAAATTTAAATTCAAACATCAAGGATTAGCTTTCACCATTCAATTAAAAATACACAACTGCACTGAGTGAAAACCTACCTTTACTAATTTGTTGTCATGGTGATCTGTATCAGTGCCGCCTCCGATACTCTCCGGTTCCGCCAACTTGACAAAACTGAAAAGAAGCTGCTCTTTTCCACTTAACCTAGGTACTAAAATAAAAACAAATAAATAACTAAAAAAATAAATACGTTTGTACACTGTACACATTGGACCAACAATAGATTTTTCAATAACTTGTAATGTGGTGGTAAAAATGAATAAATGAATGAACAAAATATATTGCTCCGATATCACAAATAAAGGGTTCTGAAAACCTCTTGTTGCATAAATGCGTTCTGAAGTAAAACTGATATGAAAATAATACTCATTGTCATGCAGATTAAACTCATTTTCACGAGAAAACAATGTCACTTAGCCTCGTTTTGAAAATGAGAGTTTTTGGAACTCAGAAATAGCAAACTAAAAAGTAATCCAAGTTGGTATTTTTATCTACTAAGCAGAACGTAAAGAGGTATGT